AGCGTGTGCTCCAGGCGAGCACTATTCCCTTCAGCAGGCTGATCCTGCCTCCATGGCACTGTGGTGTAGCCACAGCACCCAGGAAGGAGAGGTAAAACCAACCTTCAGCTGGGTAAACTGAAGGGCACACCAACCCCTCTATAGGTCAAGCCGATGTGATGACATCTTAAGGGATGTTTGTGTGTTTCCTTGGAGAGAAAATTGAGGTTTGCTTGTTGTTAACTAAAAAGCAAGAAAATTTTAAAGGCTGTTTGACACAGTCACAGCCAGATTCCATTTCATGTCCCCAAATCCCTCCTCTCATTTCAGCTGGATACAGAAACGACTTATTTCCTCTTTCACTTCTAGTCCTATTCAGTAGGCCAGTTGGGAGCTTTTAAACAGCTGCCCTGTCCTGTGGAGAGGTGGCTTGCCTTGTGGCAAAGGGATAAAGTGGTTCTTGGTCGGCTAACATAGAAAATACTTTGGGGTTCTTTTAGAATTGTTTAGAAATGTGAAACTGCTCTTATTCACAGCAGTTTGGGAGAGAGATGGCAGATGTTCTTTCCTCAGTTTTTTTTTTTTTCCTGCTGTTGAGCGAAACTCCCCCATCTGCCTTGTCCGGGGCTGTTGCATCGAATCCTCTGCTGAGCTGAACAGAACAAGCTTTGCTACTTTGACTTGGAAGAGTTTTCTGAGGGGCCAGTGGGGTCAGCAACTAGCAAACTCATTTCATCTGTGTATCCTCCTGGCTGGCTCTTTTCCAGTAGCCTTGGAAAGATAACACTGCACTATTATTCCCTGTTGTTGAAATCACCCCATTCTGCTCCTTACAGAGGTGAAGCATGTTCTGCAAGGTCAGTGTTACCTCCACGTGTCACCTTTGTGGGTGCTAGCAGCTGGAGAGCTTGCAGCCAGCGCGGGAGCTCCCATGCTGATTTTGGTGCTCTCTGCCTTTGTTCCCTCTCCCCCCTCCACCTACCTCTCCCACTTTCTCTCCTTTCTCGCCCCTCCTCTGTCTGATCTGGGGAGGGTTTTTCCTCCCATGCTCACACAGCCCTGCCGTTTCCCCGAAGGCTGGCTGCCCTCTTTAGCATGCAGAGCCTCATCTCCTCCAGGTTATGCAGAGGTGCCGCAAAAATAGAAATGAGACACAAACGCCCCATTGAAGCAGCTGGCGAGCTCTGGCTCCGTTCCCTGCTCCCTCCCATCTGTAATTGCAGGGCTTTATTCGTTTGTGTTTCTTTATTCCTATCGCTTGATCTGCCTTTTAGAATACAAAATTGGGAGACTGATGGCTGATAGAAGTCATCTAGTCCCTGCTCCCCATCCTAGGAGGAAAATGGCTAGCCACTGATGTCTTGGGCGTTAGATTTCCTTCTCTTGGCTGTGCTCCTCTGCCTCCCAGCTCAGCTCATGCTTTGATTCTTTCTTTGCCTTGGAGTTGACAGCTGCGTTGAGCTCCTTTACGAGATGCTTGGAAGAGAGGGGGAAGGTGGCAAATCTTGGGTCTGTGGTTTGGCACCCCAAGCCTTTGAGTTTTTGCTGCGGGTGCAAAAGGTATGAAGTGGTGTCAGGATGCTGTCTGGAGAGGTACCGGTTTGTACGCTGGTGCAATGGTGCTGTTAGCCCTGTGGCATTCAGGCTGGTGCTGGCACGGAGGGTTCCCCCAAGCCAGCCTCTGCATCCTGTGCCTGTGGATCAGGCCCCAAGGTGTTGTCTTATTCCAGGTCCACCCCAGGAGAAACCTGGCTTGCTCAGGCTGTGAGCGTCATTAATGACTCATTCTTAGGGATGAGGTGGTGGAGTTTTATCTTGGGCTGAGGAGAGCAGAGCATCCCAGTAAACAAGATAATGCAGCTTAGTGGGTTTTAACTGGGTAAACACTTCAGAGTTAAATGAGGGTAAACAAACTCCCAGGATCTGAGCTTCCCGCATGGACGGGATTATCTCTCTGGGTGCCCTGGTTCACCTGCCATGAGATGTCTGTTGTAGAGGTGGTGGGATGGGCTGTGGCTGAGCTCTGGAGGCAGCCCAAACGGGGTGTAGCTGATGGAAACAGAGGCTTGAGCCAGTCTTTGGAGCTGGCGCAGGGTTACATTTTGAGGCTTTGCCCAGCTGGCTAGCGGACCCGGGATGTGTATTGTAGCATGGCTGGAAAGCCAAGGCGCCACATCAGCCACGTCTCTGCTAATGAGAGTTGGGGGAAAATGAGGCATTGGGGTGGATAAAGAGCTGATGTAGGATCCAGGCAGTCAGTTGCAGTCCCAACTACAGCAAATTTTCCATGTGGCCTTGGACCTGCCATGGTCTCTCCCCATCTTTCTGCTTCCCTTTTCTGGATAACTTTGAGAATAATGTTCCCTTTCTTCCCCTCGCTGCTGTCTGTCATGTTTGCTTAAGCTGTAAGCTCCTCAAAAGACAAGTGCTCTCTCCACTGGACTGCACGGGGCTCAGCAGTGCTCTCTGTTAGTGATGCAGGTGTCTTGCGTCAGCCTGGGGAAGCCCAGTCTAGGCACCATCACATTGGAGCCTGATGAGCACCACAGAATCGGCACACGGGCTGGCCTGGCCAGGTCTTTCTGGATCTATGCTCATGCACAAGAGACGTGCAAACTCTCATTTCCAGCCATGGACTTCACTGTGTGTGCACAACTCACAGGGAGCTGGCCCATCCCCAGGGATGCCCAGAGGTGCTTTGGTTGGCTCCGTGATGCTGCAGTAGCTTCCTTCCCCTTTGATACTCTGCCTCTGTTGCCATTCCCTTTTTGTTGCTGCACTGGCCTCACCTGATCTTGCCTTGGATCAATAGAACAAAATAAACGAGATTGAGAAGTGCTGAAGCCTGGCCCAAGTGTATATGGGAAAGAGTAACCAATATTGGATTTTGCTCAGTTCAGAGAATAGTGGAGGAAGGTGGAGAGGGTCAGAGCAGGCAGAAGGCTTGAGAAATGCATTTCTGGCTTCCAACATTCCCAGGACAGGTTTGGTAATCAGCCTGGCAAGTGAGCAGCAACTCCCAAACTTTTTGTGCTAACAAGCCAATGTTTTCAGTGAAAGCACCAGGGCCAACCCATCTGCCATTGCCCCATAGCTCATCTTGGCGCTTGCCCTGATTTGAATTTGTCCTTCTGGGATGTGGAGTCGTAGGGCGTAGTGGTGGGAAGGAACCTTGGGAGGTTGCCTAGTCTGTGCCCTTGCCTGAAGGCAGTTCAGCTCTGCTTAAATCATTTCAGACCACGTGTATCCAGATCTGCGTGCAGCATCCAGGTGATGTCTCAGCAGTGCTTTGTAAAATCTCTCTATTTCTAATACTTCAGGACTGTGCAGGCATTTTCACATCTGCATTCCAGTGATATCTCAGGGCTGTTTCTAATACAGGAGTTTCTCCTCTTAAGACATTTCTAATGGATGGTTTCCTATCTTGTATCAGAAATGTTTGGTGCTAGTTCTTCAGGTGGTGACTTATCACTTTGTACTATTTCTTTTCATAATATTTCTGTTATTTCCATTCTCAAGATCACCTAGCTGTACCTACGGTCTTTCTGTGCAGTGAGGATGTCTCCTCGCTTTGTGTCCTTGGCTCATTTCATTATCATGTTCCTAATGTTTGTTCCAAGGTCGCTTAAGAAAATGTTAAAGAACAGCAGATCCAAGGACAGACCTTGAGGAATTCCACTAATAGCCTCCCTCTAGCACAAGCCTCTGTCATTTTTCATATAGCCAATGCCTTACAGTTGCCTTGCAGTTTTCCTGCTAATCGGTGTCTTTTCTTGCCTCTCTTGTAATTCTGCATGAGGCACTGTATCAGATATTTTACTGAAGTCCAGATGGATTAGATCTGCTGCATTTCTCCTGTCTAGAAAATCAGTTATCAAAGAAAAATACCAAATTAGTCTTCATTTCAGCTTATTCAATTAGTTCAGTTCAGTGACTAGTTCATTAAGAACTGAGAAACTGAGTATGAGCTGAGAAAGTGGGAAAACTTGTCCTTTTTTCTTCTAATCTATGAATAAAAATCAGCTGTGAGAGGATGAGATCTTCTAGTTGTAATGTGCTGAAGAACAGAGGGCTAAGAAGCAATTGGTTCAGTTCACCCAAATTAGTTACTTTGCTTGCTTAACAAAAATGTTTTAAATGTAAAACATGTTTTGGTAATCTCATTTTTTCCTTATGTCTCCATATTTATCATGGTATTTATCGGCTGAATAAAGCCAAGTTCCAGGTGCTGTTTTCTTGCATTTTGATTGAAGTTCAATATGCATGTGAATGTACCTTGACACAAATCACAATTAAAGTCTCATCTAGGGTTCAAGAAGTGTCAGTCAAACCTTCTAATAGATAAAATGGAAATAACAAAGATATAATTGTTGAAAGAAAAGTGTAAAATGCAACCTGCCTCCCTGGTTAGCGTTAGGTAGATGTTTGCTGTTGGTACATTTTAATTCTTACCTGTGACAGTCAGCCCCTCCTTATGAAAACAAAATGTGAATGCAAAATGAAGTTCAGAACAATGACTTAACAATAGATTTCCATCCTGCTGATCTAAAACATGATTAATATTGGTGATGTAAATAATTTTGGTTTAAATCAGTCCCCCTGCATATAATATAGCTGCAGATCAGGAGCGCTACGGTGAAATCTTGCCTGGGTGACAGTCGGATAGGAAACTGTCATTGGCTTCACAGGGCCAGAATTTCATGGCTTAAATATAAGACCTTCCACCTCCTCTCCAGGACGGGTGATTGACAAGGCACCCCGTCCTTTCAAAGAGGCAAAAAACCTCAGAGGGTGATTGGCACCAACTCATCCTGGATGTGAATGCTCCTCTGCGTGGTTGTGGGTGTTTCCCAAAATACCCTGATTTTCCTCATCAGCTAAGAGCACAGCCCATCTGAGGGGCACGTTACCCCGCAGGCAGGTGTGTGCAGCAGGTTGGTTTGGCAGGAGCAGGCTGCGAGGAGAAGACAAGCCCAGTGGGTGTCAGTCCTATCTGATATGGATTTACTGTCATTATACAGGGACCTTGTGCCTCTGCCTTGCCTCCTCGGAGGAGCCAACTGCTGATGGCCTCACATCAACTTCCCTGCTGGAATTTGCCATGATGTCACACCTGGAGGCCATGAATTCCCACGAGCAAACCAGCCCAGAGGCTGCAGAGCCTGATCTTGCCCCTGGCTCTCTGCATGCTGCCGCGGGATCAGGCTTTGCCAGCGAGGAGAATGAGGAGTCCAAGATCTTACAGCCCCCGCAGTACTTCTGGGAAGATGGGGGAGAGCTCAATGACTCCAGCCTGGACTTGGGACCAGCAACGGGTAGGTTATTTTTACCCCATTTTTCTTCCCCGCTCTGCAGGGACTCTGGGGAGGTGGAAGGATGCAGGGATCTGTCTTCCTGCTTTGACACAACTCTCGCTAAGAGGGCCTGAGATTAAGTGTCAGCTCTATTTTCTCACCTCAGTGCCTGATGTGTCCCCAGTGAACCCTGAGCAAGCACAGGCTTTAGAAACCAAGTTACAGCTGAGCCTTTATTACTGAGCTGCTATGAGCTGGGAAAAGTATTGCCTCCACCTAGTTTCCCATTGCCTCCTGCCCTTCTTTCTCTCTCTCCTTCCCGCTTTTATGCTCTCTTCTCTCCCTTCTTTCTGTTGTTGTCAATTAAGCACAACCTAAAGGTCTCAAGACCCCAGCTCAGAGATCAAGGCCATCTTGGGGTTTGAGTCAAAGATGGGTTCCCTGGGCCAAATTCTGGATTCCTCACTTTGTGACTTCAGCGGGGATTTGGCCTGAGAGAAGACAGCAGGTTTTCCTCCTTGGGCAGCTGTCCTGTTGCCTACCCTGTCCCCCTGTCCTGCCTGCTTCCTGGCGAGTCATGGCCAAAATGAGTTTCATTAGCATTTGAGCTTGCTTTCCTCTGTGGAGTGTTTTTTGAGACTACTGAGTCCCCTCAGTGGTCTCCCCCGAGCCCGTCATTGGCTTTGAGATGCTCTCAGGGAGAGGGATGGGAGGAAGGAGGAGGAGCGTTGCAGGGTTTCCAGTAGCTTAGGAGATTATTTCACATGCTCCTGCTCTTAAGTGTCATGTGGGGCATGTATTAAGTGTTACCCAGGGGCCAGGCTTCAGCCTTATCCCTCCTCCCTTATCCGGTATCACTGCCTCCCTCTCAGCAGGTCTGACTGAGGTCTGCAATTAGAAAGCACAACTCTTGTTTTATCTTCACTCCTATTTCTGTGACCTTAAAGACCTGTGCTCACACAGGGCTGAGGGCTGCCGCAGTGCTATGGCTCAGGCTGCCTGCTGGGGCACAGTGCACGCTATGCGGGGCAAGGGCCATCCCAGCTTAGGTCTCCAAAGCCCTTTGCTCACTAACATTTCTGCTAAACTCATCTGGCTGTGGTCTTGCTGCCCTGCAGCTCATGTGGCCCCCGGGGCACTTGCAGGCCTGGCCGTGGGGAAGCTGTGCAGATGCTGCCTCTGCAGCAATGCTGGGGGCGGATGGTGCGTGTTCCTACCAGCGCATCCTTGGGCATGCTCTGGCTTAGCCGCTCTCACGCGCTGGCAGCGTGCTCAGCGGTGCTTTTATTTGTGTGCCAGCAGGCACCTGCATGTACTCACAGATCTGGACGTGACTTGGAGAACAGCATGTGCTTGTGCATTGAGAGCGAGATGCGCTGGGTACCGAACCCAGCCTCGCCTCTTGCACATGCCTCGCCCCATTTGTATGCAGAACACGCTCCTCTCTCCTTCCGTTCTTGCCTGCAGTGCTTTCCTGCATGAACAGATGTGCTCTTTCAGCTGTCCTTTACGTGTACCCTGCCCTATCCACTGCCCAGCTAACCACTTCTGTGCTTCCAAGCACTGTTTTTTCCCCTGGCCGTTGCTGTGTCCAGAGCTTGTGTCTCAGTGGCATTTCAGAACCTTGGTTAATAGAACAGTTTGAATTATTCAAGAGCTGGGAGAGCATTTCTACTTAAAATTTAATTAGAAACCTGCTGTGTGTCATTTTACAATAAAGGATATTGTAATAGCATCCCTAAATTGGGCAGCCTTCTCCTGTCATGCAAAGCCTGTGCATGAGGAATGCACACAACCAATGGATCTTACGTGCTGCATGTGTGACAGATGCCATGTGATACCTTGTAGAACTGTGTGATGACATCTGTTAGGTTATTTTCAACGTATAAATCCCTTAAACAGTTTCAAACAGCTGCTGTTTAAGAAAAAAAAAGTTTATGGTATAAGTTTTCCTTATGTGGGATTTCTCTCCGAATGACAGAGGGCTAAGGAGAATCTCCATCCTTTATTGGATGCGGGGGGAAACATAGTGACAAAGGATGAGGAAAAGGCTGAGGTACTTAATGCTGCCTTTGCCTCAGTCTTTAATAGTAAGACCAGTTGTTCTCCGGGTACCCAGCCCCCTGAGCTGGAAGACAGGGTCGGGGAGCAGAATGAAGCCCCCATAATCCAAGGGGAAATGGTTAGCGACCTGCTAC